TAGTTACAGGATAGCAATAAATGGAGAAATTTATTAAACTATATGAAACTATATTTCTATCTAGGAGAAATAAAGTCCTTTTTCTTGCAAATAGAATGTGCATTTGTATTTTGAGTTTTTTTCTAATGAGCTGCAACATGTAATACGATAGATGAATTATGACTGATTGTGAAAAATTTGAAAACTTGTTAAAAAAGAAAAAATATGTGGTTGTTATTTGATTAGTACTTTTTTCAAATTTCATTTCACAGAGTGGTATTATTGGTATTGCCCCTGTGTTCATACTTCTTGTTATGATTATGAATCATATGATTACTATATATATATATTTTTTCATCAATATGATTATTTCATTTGCGATAACAGGTGTGAGTTATGCCCGATGTGGTTAACTCATAGAGTAATTTCGGATAGGGTACACCGTCTGCTCGTCACGCTATCTTATTTTCGGCCGGATAGATTCGTGCAACTTCTTAGTCTAATACCGATCCTAATCTTACTCTTATACTTTCTAGTCTCAGGGTGTTTAACTAGTCTCTGCTAGGCTCAATAGATCTAGGGTATACTGGTTTGTTGCGGCTGCTGAAGTTCTCTTGGAGAGACAACTAATTTCTAAGTTAAATTCAAATCTCTCTGGTGCTGAAATTACAAATAATTTCAGCTCTTACAAATAAGTGGGTTGTTAGTTAGATGGATCATGATTGGTTAATTTTAAATACTTTACAGTGGTAAAATATCTAATTTATCCAATCATAAAATATAGTTTAGATCAGGTTCCAGGTGACTTGTAATCGAGAACTAGACTTTTCCCCTTAAACAATTTTTCTAACAAATTCTGGTGACATGCTCAATTCTGCTGACATGATCAACTTTTTGGAAATCCAAATAAGATTATTTCTTACTTCTTTTGAGATAGTATTTAACCTTTTCAATTAAATTTTTTTATGTAGTTTTTGTGCTGATTTCTGTCGGCTGATGTTCTGTTCTTTTTAAAAGCAATTTATTTTATCTGGTAGGATTCTCAAGCTGTGTTTTTTCCAGAATTTCAGTTTTTTTATTTTTAATTTGAAGCATTTTTGTTCGATAGATAAGCATTTCTTAAAATGTATGTGATATGATTTTTTCTAAATTTTTAAAAGGCACTTTGGAAAATATTAGTTTTTTTTCGTATTTTTTTCATATTTTCCATTTTTTCCTATTTTTGATACCTCGAAAAATACCTTTTCAAAACTGAGATTTCAACCCTTTTCAAAAACACGGGTTGCGGAAAGATCTGCGTCAACGGCTACGACCACGTTTTCTAACACAGAAAAGTCAAATTTTCAAGTAGCAAAAATTTTACATGCAGAAGTGGCGACTCCTTAGTTTCTGTATTTAAAAAAAAATTAAGTTAATTTTGAAAACGACTTTCAAATTTTTCTGCAAAATTTTCACTTTTCTTGGTAACAAAAAGTTTTTTGCAAAGATAAACGTAGTCAACTAAAATACAATTTTAGATGCTTTGTATGGAAAGACGAGGCAATTATGCATCAATGAGAAACAAAGGAAAAAGTAAGTTTCCTCGATCGGGAAGCTTCAACGTTTTGCTGAATATACCAAAGGAAGCAGCTGAAGCTGAAGTTCGATAAAAAGTACTTGTTTTACCATAACAATGACTAAATAGATATTTAATTAAATACTTCTGAGCCATTTATGAGTGGCTGAACTCACGGATGAGTGTTAGAATAAAACTCACTTTGGATATGATGACGCCTAGAGCGCCATATGAAAGAGACAAACCAGCAGAGATTATAATTCTCATGGATTTCATGTACAAAAAAAAACAATCCATTATATTGAAAGCAAAAATGAATTATAATCGATTATAATGGATTTTAATGGATTTTTATTTTTCAAAAATAATCGATTAAAATGGATTAAAAATCCATTACGTTGTCTAAATTTGCCATGATAATTGATTGTATAGACAACAATTTAGTCAACAAAAATCCTTATAATCGACTTTTATCCATGAAACTTCGGTGCGGGTACTCAACGATTGCAATCATATATACTGCACCTATGAGTCTAAACCGAATCAATTCAGAGGAGCGGCCATACGGCCTCGGCGGTCAAATTGAGGCTGATTTTTTGGTTTACCTTTATTTTAAAAATTGGTTTTGTTCACCACTAGGTTAGATCTTCACTCAGGGGGGGGGGGTGTTTTGGTAAGGGAACGGGTGGACGTTTCGAGTCTTTTCGGTTATACCCCCCTAAATTACGAAAAAATGAAATGCTAATTTTTTTATATAATTCAGACACTGTTCCTAGAAAATTCAATATATTATTATGAGACTAGTAAAACGAGCCATTTTACATAATTGAACCATTAATTGAGCCTCAGACTGACTTTTTTCTCCAATTTTTGCCAATTTTCTGAGCATAAATTTCCTTAAAAGGATGCTAAATAAGTTTTTAATTGTCGATCAGTTCAATTTTTTTGGCCAGTTTCTAGCTTGATTTAACGCTCGAGATATCAGCCCTGCGTTTTTAAGGAAAATTAGTCAAACTTTGAAAGAAAAATTTTCATTTTTTTTTATTTAGGGGGGGGGATATCCGAAAAGAAGCGACGTTTCTTTTCCTCAGGGTTTCGTCCCCCTTCCAACCCAATATGTCCCCCTTTGATACTATTTACGACACCAGCTTTCGGTCGATCGACTTTTAAAATTTTCTATTTACAAAAGGAACAAAAATAGTCGGATACTGGGCCAGTAACACAGAAAGTTCCGAACACATTAGTTAGAAAAAACTATTACAAGTTTTTTTTTTCATTTTTGTAATTGTTTCAAAGTGTTTCTTTTTTTATGGGAACTGAACGAAACCTTAGAAAATGAGAAATTTGGGCACAATAGACTACATTTGGCATCAAAGTTAAAAGCATAACAAAGACAAAAACAAAAAGCAAAACAAAAAAACCAAGGGTGTTTATCATATAACAATTTTATCATAATGTTGAATGAATCTGGGTTTGTGGAACAAAAATAATTATTTTATCGGGCTCGAAATTGCAATTGGAAGCAAATTTTTCAAACTGGTTTTTGTCGACATGGGACATTTAATTGGTGTTTTTGAATGTCATTCGAATCAGTACTTCAATAGTTTTGGTATGATATCACTAGAGGTATTTTGATTATTACTTTTCAGCTGGGATAATTGAAATTGAAAGTCGAAAAACAGTGCCAAAAATAAACCTTTTGGTTGTTTTTTTTTGTCATTTTTTTCATCATGAAACAATTTGATTACCTTCATTCATAGTATCGACAATTGAAAATTGGGAGGAGCTTTGTCTCCTGTTGTGTTTTAGTTTTTTGTTATTGTTTTTTTTTCAGTCAAATTGACGTAAGTAGTTAATATGTATAGCAGAAGTTGTTGCAAGCTTAGCAAATAATTAGATGTTATAATCAATTAAAATGGGCTTTAAATGGCTGATAATATTATAATGGATTTGAGGAGATAAGGTTTTTTTATGAAAATAAATCATTAATGAAAACTCATGGTCTAAAATTGCGTCCATTATCGATAATTATGACATTTTAGACAACATTATTCCGTCATAATCTTTCTTTATCCGTGACACTCCGGTTTGGGATTTGCATAACTAATCGCTTTCATTTCAAGTAACTCGTAATTTGATTGCTACAATTTTAAAAAATTATTCAAAAATTAACCGGGTTTATGAGAAGGTAGATTAACATCGGGAAAATTATATCGTCCTCTTCAAAAAAGCTCACTTTCTACTCTGTCTGAAAAGTTTGACAAGGAATCGCTACCAATTTTTGACACAACTGAAGAAATGCTTGCAACGTTTTTCCAGAGTGCGAGAAACATTAATATGGCTGCCATAGATAATATCGACTAGTCTTTCTTCAATTGAAAACCCGCTTCCCATTCGCAGACCTTGATTCAACCTGAAAGCTGTTTATTCATAAAGCAGAAGTGTAACTCAAACCAGCAATGTTTTACACAGGAGCGCACCTAGGAATTTTTCCAGAGGAAAACTGCGCCTCCTTGAAAATTAACTGTTGAAAGCATATTTTTGGCAGTTTTTGAAGGGTTTTGGCCAAAAAACGCGATACTTCGGAACCCCCACTTCACTCAAAATTGGTATCTGATGGTGCTGAAGAAACCTATAGAAAAGTATAGTGTCAAAATGGGCGTCATAAACTTGTACTAGAGGTGATACTAGTGACTTTGGATGTTGCAGTGTTGGAGTCACTGCTTTTAGACCTTTACTTAGGAGGGGAGAGGGGGATTTGTCCGATTTTCCAAAATTATTTTAGATCGACTACATGGATTTTCTAAGTTATCCCAAAACATTATAAGGAACCTACTTGGCCAAATTTTTCTGTGCCGCTGTGAACATTTTAAAACAAACCGGAAATGCTGTTTTGGACATGTTTTAGGAGGATTTTGGCCAAAAAAATTACGCTTAGCTTTACTTGGCGCGCTTTCCCTTCAAAGTTAGTTTATAAAGTTAGCGCCAAAGGCGCCTTTAAAAACATTTACGACCGGTAGACTGCAAATAGATGCCGTTAAATAGTTTCCAAAGAGAACCTTTTAGGTAACAAGGGGCCCGAATCCCTGAGGTATCTGAAAAAATCCCTGGGGGTGGGAAGGGGGGAGGGGTCAAGGTTGATTTCCCTACCCAGCCTGCCCCTCCCCATGCACTAAATCTGTATGTACTTGCTTTTTTGGTTCTCTTTTCTATTAGCTTTGAAAATACAGAAGCTCAGCAATATTTGTAATGTATAAGGTGCGTGCATAATAAAGCGGAAATGCGCCTCCCAGAAACGGAAATAACTTGGTCTGTTCTCATGCCCACGTGACCTCTGTATGAAACAAAAGAGAAAACGAAGAGCTTTTTGTGCTTTTTTTTCCCATAACACCCGTTAAACAACGATCACTTGTCGTGTTAGTTGCCTGCGTTACATAACAAAAGAGATAACTGAAAAAAAACTTACCTTAGTGACAAAATCATTTTTGTATCCACTAATATAATCAATACATTTTTTGAAATATAATTTTCAATAAAATGGGATCATGTTCGAGCTTCATAACGAAAAGATTAGCCCTGTTTTTGAGGTGCGTTTCAGACGAGTGAAAAAAAGTAATATAAAATATGAACCTATTGTCTAAGCAGAGGGTCTTAATTTTTGAAGGATAATCCTGTACATGTCGACTAATTCACTCGCACACATAATCAGTTCGAAAAAACGACCAACTAGCAGATCAGCGCAGACCTTACCTGCCAAGAAGTTCTCTGCGCCCACCGGGCAAATTGCGTAAGAATGCATTAGCTTATGACTTTTCCAGCAGGTAATTTGGGGAAAATAAGTCAGAAATTACGGAGAAATTTGGACACAAAACAACTGAAAAACCCTGAGGCAGCTTATAGATGTCGTTATTCTGAAACTAGAATAATTGACTGGGCTTGATTGATGGGATGAAAGTCAACTGAAATCAGACTCGTTAAAGTCAAGCTCCGATAAAAAAATGGGACATTTGAAGTCAAAAAGCCAAACAGGCGGATTGTTTCTGTTCATTAAGCCGGAAAATCAAATTATTTGAAAAATCCCCCTATTAATTTGATGAAAACTACCTAAAAACTCGGTTGCCATTGAAATGTGTCTACAAATGTTTCTCCAATCTGTATGCCAATTTTGTTTATCGACCACTTTTTGAACAAAAGAACAGCAGTTTCGAAAGTAATTGCCCATAAAACTAAAAATGCCCACTTTTTTCAAAGTATTTTTAAAATATTTTTCATGATTATTGGTGGAAAACATAGTGAAAATATCCAACCTTGCAACTGAGATGTGGATGGATAATTTGTCATGAAATTCAAGACAAAGTGCAGTGCCGTTTTGACCAGCCCGATGAGTATATCGATTTCATATGCAAATGATTAGGCATTATTAAGGCTAGTTGAATATATGAATGTGAAAAGGTTGAATTAAAAGTATACGATTGCGTGCAATAATCTTCGGTTCACTAAGCACGACAGGTGCATCTACACACGCAAAATGTTTTCTTGCAGGTTTCCCCAATTTCTGGACATCATAATCGATAATTACCTTTTTATTCGAGCCAAAAACTCAACAATCGCTGCTCCCCTTTTCTGCAGTTAGCAAACCGCACCCTGAGGGTAGAAAGGGTAATTTAACTAGGGCTGACCCGCAGAGAATGCTCAAAATAACCTGCACCGGGGCGTCACGCCATTTTCTTTTCTTGCCTCTGTCAATATTTCGAGGTTTGAATTATATTTTTTAAAATCATAAGGAGAGGTCAGTGGAAAGATATCGACTTTCAGAGCGCTTTTTACGCCATTGGCAAATATAAAATGAAAAGAAAATAAGCGACTATTGATGTGAGCAAAATTATTCTGGGTTTTCAGGCTTTTTGGAAATCCGTTTGCGTTTGATTGACATCCTGCTGCATTGAAAACCCCACAAAAAATGAATCTACAAAAATTAATGCGATTATCGACGTGCTCAGTGTAACAGGAAAAGTGATACAAAATTTAATTATGCGTGGCTCAAATAATCCGATTCAAATTATCCATAACAAATTAATCAGCGCAGACAAACGATTTCACGAACCCATATTTGTGAAGATGTAAAAATGGATTTGTCGCCGAAACATATTTTTGATGTATGCTTGAACTGCTCAAGCATGATGTAGTTTTAAATATACAAAATAGTGCAATAAATTGGTCTCAGATGGTAACTGTTACTGTTTTTACGGGACTTGGAATTTTTTATTATTCATTCATCCTAATTCGGATACATAGTTCAAGAGGATTTGGGTTGATGCTATCTCCATAAACTTTTGTCGTCTTCGCCAACACGTAGTGTTCCTTTTTGAGATCATATTTTATGATCTTGATCTTTGAACTCGAAAGGACTAACGTAATATGATTCAATAAGGAAACAGAAGACTAAAAAACATCCCGCGACCGAAAATTATAAATTGTTGAAAAACTTCTGATTTTTTCCCAGAAAATAGGTATTTTGTGCAATTTCATATTTCAAGAAAAAATTGACAAAATGATGAAATGTTCTTTTTTGAAAAAAGAACAAGTCTTTTGATTTTCGATAATTCACGTTTTTGAATAAAAAGCGCTAAAATGAATTAAAAAACCGAAATTTTTCGAGTATTTTTTTCTACTTGAAAAATAAATTATAGACAAATTTGGCTACTCATGGATAAATAATTTTTAGATGTCACGTGATTAAGGGCACAAGCGCACCAAGATTGCATAAAAATGACCGCAATTATCAAAGAACATTTTATGAGAACTATATTGTAATTTTCAACGAGCAAAGAAAAATATTTTTTCATTAGAAGCATATTGTTTTGAACTATTCATTAGGTTAAAATCGGATTACCCAAACCGATGATCTTTATTCGTGCGTTTCTTTTGATCGTATCGACAACATTCTAACACATTTACAAACTTGTCTCTGGGTTCAGTGAATTACCCACACCGAAATTTGTGTCTATCAAGTGCACAGTGGTGCCTCGTAATTTTGCTTCAAAAAAACTTGTCGATGTTCTTTTTTCACTTTTTTTTCAAAATCTGTTGAAATTTTTTTTTGGAAATTTCCTACCTCTATTTGTTGGCTCAATTTCAATTCGTTGTAATATTTGTTGATGAACAGTCAAAATGCATTATTATCGAAGCTGAGTTTTACGATAGATGTTGGATTATTTGCCCAACTGTTGATACCGAGTCTACCGACAAAGTTCTTCAATTTTGGAGCATATTTAAAAATTTTAACTGGAATTCACTTGCTTAAAGCACAGAATTGTGCGGTTCAAATTTATGACACGTTTTTTTTGAATTACTAAAAAAAACTGATATAAAATATGATAGCTCCCATTTTAGAATTTTTTGACCGACATGAGAAGAAACTATAGCGTAAGGCGCGTTCGTTGCAAAATATTTTGACTCCCACAAAAAATCTCCGAGGTGGTAAAATTTGGTCTCTTTTTTTGAAGAAATGAGAAGAAACTATGGCGTAAAACGTGTTCGTTGCAAAATGTTTTGGTCCCAAAAAAAATCTCCGAAGTGGTCAAATTATGTTTCAAGGTCGGAAAAAATGGGTCTGAGTTTTTCCAATTTCGAGACCGAAGAACAGGAAGTTTGGTGAAAATTATTTCGATGACATAAAATTTTTCTGTTTTTTGTTGGACAATTTATCTTTATTTTTGAGTTTTTTAAAATATAAAATTTTTGTTTTGAACAGTTATGAAAAATTTTCTTCGGACTAATTTCCAACATACCTTCACAGAAAACTAAAAGTATGTGCTTGTTCTATTGAATTGGGAATATATGAAAATGTTAGTTTCAATGCGAAATTTCATTCAAAAGCTATCATTATTTTTGCTTTTGATTTCAAGTAAGCGTAAATTAAAATCAAACAAACTTAAATTGTTCAGGAAAAGATGCCAGTAATAAAGGTACATATTTGAGCGAAACAAAAGGCGGCTACAGAAATTTATTCAATTTTTGATCATGAAGAAAATAAATTGCGATTTATGCACATGATGCCATTCATATTTCTGTCAATTTCCAAAATGCATTTGATAAAAATTAAAAACATACCAGTATTTAACTTCAAACATGACAAAAGAACAGCTACTTAACTTTTGTGTTTTGTACAAAATTGCTCGTTTTTTGACAAAGCCTTCAATGTTTTGAATGCACGTTTAGCCCAATTAGAAAATTTTGGCTGAAAAAACTGATGAATTATATTCTTTTAAAAATAATTTTTTTTCTTCAATCCCCCCACACGCTAATTTAGAGTACAATGGATGACTTCAAGGTCTCTTATTCTCATAAGAAAAGACTAAACTACTTGCCTCAGTTCTTATTGATACCCATTAATCCACCTCCTACTCATTATAAGAACACAATATGTTGCGCGTTAATCATCCCAAATTGGCCAAATAAGCCATTTTCAAACCCTCAAAATTTCCTGTCAAAAACGTTCAGTTAAACTGTCTAAAATTGAATCATGAAAAATATAATCATAATAATTGAAACGATAATGACACAATGAACGATAAACGATACACATAATATTTGATACGATAATGAAAAACACCCAAGCATAAATATTCCGCAGTTTTTTCGAAACTCGGAGCAAAAAAAAAACGGTTGAGTGAACAATTTTTCAAAGACTTTAGTATGGTCTTAATTGTTTCAATTATCTCTTAAGTTATAAAAAAAATTTAAAAGGTTTTTTTTGCGATTAACAGTATGCAAAAGTTATACTGGTCAAAATCAAACCAATTCGTTTGTCGTTTCAAAATTTGGTTAATTTTTCTTGAATCTGGTTAGTTGAAATGTTTTTGATTGGTCGAGCAATTTCAATTCTTATTTTTTGTTAAAACTTCAGAATAGCAATTCATTTGACAAATTGGTTATTCTAGACCAAATAAACGATAAGACTGCAAGTGCGTTTTCAAATCCACAATTTGTAGTGCGTTTTATTTTGAGCGTTTATTTATGAAAACAATTTTTTTTTGTTTATTTTCGAAAAAAATGACAAAAAATATGCTCAAGGTGTTTTTTTTCTCCGGCCATTTTTCATTTTTTTAACTAGCAATTTTTGTTGAATTTTTTTATCATTCGAAATTCATTGTTGCCCAGAGCTCAAAATTAAAAATGATCTATTTCACTGTGAATGTTTCCGTGAGTTTCTTTTAGCTTTTTTTCTGTTGCTTAACTACGCACGAGATAATATCCTTTTGAATTTTAGTATTGCCGGGCGTCTAAGACTGAATACTTCTGATAACACCGAATGAGTTAATTTGGTGGTAACTAACTTGATTTTGAAAAGCGCAATCGAAGCATTGAATCGTTCCAATTTAAATTGAAGCAAACAATTTGCTTTTATTTATGCGTTTCTAGACGCTAAATTGTCACCTTGAAATATGTATAGCGTGAGGGGGAACAAAATTTTTAAAAAAAATGGAACAAGGTATCTTGCTTTTTTCAATTCTATCGGCTTTTCTTGAAAGCAAAACGTTTTTGTTGAAATTGAGCGGCAGTTGGAACATCAGGAATTGATACGAGTAAGTTTGTTTTTTTTGCAAACAACTTTTTTCCACTGGTTTCAAATAACTTTCTTCTTCCACAAAGTTCAACATCTCCATTCGAATATGTTTTTTTTTCT